CTGACATCCGATTTTGAAGTCTCCCTCTTCACCTTCTGCTCCCCCAGGACCAGGTGCCACGTTCCTGGCCACGTGGCACCATCTCACAGCCTCTTCTCTTACACAGGGGTCTCCAACCTTGGACACTTTAAGACTTGTGGACTTCAACTCCCAGAATTCCCCACCCAGCTGGCTGGGGAATTCTGGGAGTTGAAGTCCTCCAGCCAAGCTGGCTGGGGAGTCTGGGAGTTGAAGTCCTCCAGCAAACCTGGCTGGGGAATTCTGGGAGTGGAAGTCCTCCAGTAAAGCTGGCTAGGGAATTCTGGAGTGGAAGTCCTCCAGTAAAGCTGGCTGGGGAATTCTGGGAGTTGAAGTCCTCCAGCAAACCTGGCTGGGGAATTCTGGGAGTGGAAGTCCTCCAGTAAAGCTGCCTGGGGAATTCTGGGAGTTGAAGTCCTCCAGTAAAGCTGCCTGGGGAATTCTGGGAGTTGAAGTCCTCCAGCCAAGCTGGCTGGGGAATTCTGGGAGTTGAAGTCCTCCTCCAGTAAAGCTGGCTAGGGAATTCTGGGAGTGGAAGTCCTCCAGCTTTGCTGGCCTGGGGAATTCTGGGAGTTGAAGTCCTCCAGCAAAGTTCGCTGGGGAATTCTGGGAACTGAAGTCCACAAGTCTTAAAGTGGCCAAGGTTGGAGACCCCTGCGAGACAGACCTGACTTCCTGGCTGGCAGGTTCACACCACACACCTATTTGCGAAAGCCAGGACACAACTAAGCACAACACCCCAGCCACATTTCTCACTCTCTTTCTCGACTCACACATGTGCCCCCCCCCACCCCTTCCTGCTTTTCCCCATGTGTAACAAGGGTGTGGATTGCACAATTCCAGTCGTCCCCATCCACTCCGGATTTTCTTGGCAGAGCACAGGTCGTCCTTGACTTATTACCATAACGGAGACCAAAATCTCCATGGCTAAGTTGTTTCCATGAGACAGTTGTTAAGTGAGTTTTGCCCCATTTAACGACCTTTCTTGCCACTGTTGTTAAGTGAATCACCGCAGTTGTTCAGTTACAAACACGGTTGCTAAGTGAATCAGGCTTCCCCTGATTGACTTTGCCTGTCAGATGGTCGCAAAAAGGGATCACGTGACACCAGGACACTGCAACTGCCATAAGTATGGGTCAGTTGCCGAGCATCTGATTTTGATCACGTGACCAGAGGGAGGCTGCAACGGTCGTAAGTGTGAAAAGTGGTCATAAGTCACTTTTTTTTCTGTGCTGTTGTAACTTTGAACAGTCACTAAACGAATGGTTGTAGGTTGAGGACTGCCTGTGTTTATTTTTTAGCATGTGGTGAGAACATGAAAAAAAAGAGAAGGAAATATAGAAAAGGTAATCCTCCCCTTACGACCACAGTTGAGCCCAGTATTTCTGTCAATTGAGAGATTTGTTAAGTGAATGTTGCCCCATTTTACGACATTTCTTGCCACAGTTATTAAGTGAATCACCGCAGTTGCTAAGTTATTAACACAGTTGTTAAGTGAATCAGAACTTTGCTGGTCAAAAGCAACGGTCATAAATACGAGTCAATTGCCAAAGCATCTGAATTTTGATCACCTGATCATGGGGAATGCTGCCAAGGTCGTAACTCTAAAAAACGGTCATAAGTCACTTTTTTCAGTGCCGTTGTAACTTCGAACGGTCCTTAAACGAACGGTTGTAAGTTGAGGACTACCTGTGTTTATCTTTTAGCCTATGATGAGAACATGACGGAAGAAAAGTAAAACATATACACACAAACCCACATAATTTTGTGCAAAACTGGGTGTCCAGTTAAGCTCCCCAGGCGATCCCTTCGTACAGATCTTCCAGGACACGGATGTCCAACCTTGGGCACTTTAAGACTTGTGGACTTCCACTCCCAGAATTCCCCAAGCCAGCAAAGCTGGAGGACTTCCACTCCCAGAATTCCCCAGGCCAGCAAAGCTGGAGGACTTCAATTCCCAGAATTCCCCAGGCCAGCTTTGCTGGAGGACTTCCACTCCCAGAATTCCCCAGGCCAGCAAAGCTGAAGGACTTCCACTCCCAGAATTCCCCAGGCCAGGTTTGCTGGAGGACTTCCACTCCCAGAATTCCCCAGGCCAGCAAAGCTGGAGGACTTCCACTCCCAGAATTCCCCAGCCAGGTTTGCTGGAGGACTTCCACTCCCAGAATTCCCCAGCCAGGTTTACTGGAGGACTTCCACTCCCAGAATTCCCCAGGCCAGCAAAGCTGGAAGACTTCAACTACCAGAATTCCCTAGGCCAGCAAAGCTGGAGGACTTCCACTCCCAGAATTGGAGTGGAAGAGCAGTGCTGGCTGGGGGATTCTGGGAGTTGAAGTCCACCCATCTTCAAGCTACCAAGGTTGAGAAACACTGATTTAGTCACTAAACGAACCATTGTAAAATGAGAACTACATTATTTACTCGTGGTTTGAAAGTTATCCCGATAAGAGACTCAGTTCTGAATATATAGGCAGTCCTCGAATTACAGCAATTCGTTTAGTGACTCTTCCAAGTTACAACGGCACTGAAAAAAAAAAGCGACTCGTGGCCGTTTTTCACACTTAACAACCGTTTGCAGCGCCCCCGCGGTTACATGATCAAAATCCAGAGGCTCGGCCACTGGTTCATTATTTATGACGGGCGCAGCGTCCCAGGGTCCTTCTGACGAGCAAAGCCGAGGGGGAAGCTGGATTCACTTAACAACCATGTGACTAACTCAAGAGCTGTAGCGATGCACTTAACAACGGTGGCAAGAAAGATCGTAAAACGGGGGGAAATATACGCTTAAACGTTGGGTTCAATTATGGTCGTAAATCGAGGACTACCTATATTCACTTTTTTTTCCCCAGTCTTGTGTGTGGCACTGGGCTCGTTGAGCTGTGCTCTCTTCCCAAGCTGGGTAGATATTTGGGGCTCCCCACTGAACCCCCCCACCCCACCCCCCGGCTGATCATGGGATCAAATAGGGGTCCAATATAGCCCCTCCCCCTTTCTCGGCAGGTGGGGACAAGATCTGCACGCCCACCGGTCCCGCACTACGTCCATCTAACCCAGCCACGCGTGGTCCCTTCACCCTGTCCTCAGCTTGGCTTCTGTTCCTTTTCTGTGACCGTTTCGTGTGGTTTTTGTCAAATAAATTATTCTAGTTTATTAATCCGAGAAACGTTTCGGCTTCTCTTGAATGGCGTTTGCTGTCATTTCTCTTCTTTCGGTGGGCTGGGAGCGGCCGGCCGGCTGGACCCTTGTGCCACCCGTCCGGATGAGCGTGCAGAATGGAGACCGCGGGGGGGGGGGGGTTGCGGGTGGTACACACCCAACACACAAGGAAGTCGCACACTCCGCTGCAACGCGCAGCACGTGACCGGGTGCGATGGATTGCTGTGTTTTCTCAAGGCTGCCTCTGTACCACCATGCTAAACCTGGTTAGTTTCAATCTTGGTTTCTCTTTCCTCTTCTCAGCATGTTGGATCGTGCTCGTTTAGGGTTGAATGCAGAGCTTAGCACAGTGGGTGGACTTCAACTCCCAGAATCCCCCAGCCAGCTTCCAAGGTTGAGAAACACTGGGCTGGGGGATTCTGGGAGTTGAAGTCCACCCATCTTCAAGCTTCCAAGGTTGAGAAACACTGGGCTGGGGGATTCTGGGAGTTGAAGTCCACCCATCTTCAAGCTTCCAAGGTTGAGAAACACTGGGCTGGGGGATTCTGGGAGTTGAAGTCCACCCATCTTCAAGCTTCCAAGGTTGAGAAACACTGGGCTGGGGGATTCTGGGAGTTGAAGTCCACCCATCTTCAAGCTTCCAAGGTTGAGAAACACTGGGCTGGGGATTCTGGGAGTTGAAGTCCACCCATCTTCAAGCTTCCAAGGTTGAGAAACACTGGGCTGGGGGATTCTGGGAGTTGAAGTCCACCCATCTTCAAGCTTCCAAGGTTGAGAAACACTGGGCTGGGGGATTCTGGGAGTTGAAGTCCACCCACTTCCAAGGTTGATCTTCAAGTCCTCTTCAAGCTTCCAAGGTTGAGAAACACTGGGCTGGGGGATTCTGGGAGTTGAAGTCCACCCATCTTCAAGCTACCAAGGTTGAGAAACACTGGGCTGGGGGATTCTGGGAGTTGAAGTCCACCCATCTTCAAGCTTCCAAGGTTGAGAAACACTGGGCTGGGGATTCTGGGAGTTGAAGTCCACCCATCTTCAAGCTACCAAGGTTGAGAAACACTGGGCTGGGGGATTCTGGGAGTTGAAGTCCACCCATCTTCAAGCTTCCAAGGTTGAGAAAACTGGGCTGGGGGATTCTGGGAGTTGAAGTCCACCCATCTTCAAGCTACCAAGGTTGAGAAACACTGGCTTAGCAACTTAATGGACTTCAATTCCCAGAATTCCCCGGCCAACCATGGAAAGAGGGATTAACCAGGAGATAACAACTGGGAAACTGAGGCAGGGCTATCCTGACATCTCAAACCCATTTTCCTGTGCAAGAAACAGTGCAAATGCCACAACATGTCATAAATACGAGTCAGTTGCCAAGTGTCTGAATTTGGATCACGGGACCATGGAGAGGCTGCAATGGTCGTAAGTGTGAAAATCAGTTTCACAGTCACTATTTTTAGTGCTGTCGTAACTTTGAGCGGTCACTAAATGAACCGTTGTAACTCGAGGACTACCTCTATGTGAAAATGCTTTCCTCCAGCCTGCTCTCTGTCTGCCTTTTCAATGCCACGTACAGGTAGTCCTTGACTTACAACCGTTCACTTAGTGACGGTTTGCAACGGCACTGAAAAAAGTGACTTATGGCCGTTTTTCACACTTACGACCGTCACAGCATCCCCACGGTCACGTGATCCAAATTGAGAAGCTTGGCAACTGACTCATAGTTATGATGGTTGCAGCATCCCGGGTTCACGTGATCCCCTTTTGCGATCTTCTGATGAGCCAAGTCAATGGGAAAGCTGGATTCACTTAACGACGGTGTTATTAAACTTATCAATGATTTGGGGGGGGTTGGACTAGATGACCTACAGTACGAGGTCCCTTCTTCCAACTCTTGTCAATCCGTTCAAAAAGATGATCCCCTTCACAAACGTGGCAAGGAAGGTGCGTAAAATGGAGCAAAACCCTCTTTTAACCCACGTCTCGCTTAGCAACGGAAATGTAGGTCGTAAATCGAGGACCCCCTGGATGGATGAAGGGCAGAAAGCGCGTTCTCGGTTCCCGAGGGAGAGAAAGGGTTAAATGGGCGTGGCCTAAGGGAGGGGAGGGGCGGTGCGGTGCGCTCCGAGGGAAGCCTTGACCTTCTGCAACCCGATCGCTGCGCCGTGGCCAGCGCCGTGCCGGGGGCGCCCGCGAGCACCTCGTGACTTGGCAGCATTTTCGGGGCCTTTTGCAACGCCCCAGCCTGGCTGGGACCCTCCGCATTTGGATCCCAGCTTCGGAGAGGAGGGAGGGCGTCCCGATCAGCCGCTCCCCACGCTCCCTCGGCCGGCCGATTCGCCTTTGCGACCTTGCAGCTTTCCTGCCTGCAAGGCCGCCCACCCGGCTGCCAGGCGGTGAGTGGCACCCCCCCAAAAGGGTCGGGGAGGGGGTGCCGAAGGGTGGGCTTCCCTCCCCAGTGGAAAGGAGGCTCGGAGCCCTGGCATGGCAAGGGAGGGCTGGAGGTTGACAGAAGCAGCTGGGGAGTGGGCACCACCCAGCGATCTAACTTTAAACAGAGCCAATTTTACACAGCCAGAATTGTGTTGGCACAAACTAGTGGGAAAACGAAGGGGAAATTGTTGATAATACAGTTCTACAGAGGAATTAGTGAGTCTGTCATTTGCACCTAAATAAACCGTCTGGTTTGGCCCAGCAACCAGAGTAAAGACAGACTTCAAGGGATAGTTAGGACTGCAGAAAAAAAACAAAACAAAACTCCAGACCCGCAGGCTGGATCTGGCCTGTGAGGTGCTTAGATCGGGGCCATCCTGGAAACAGCATGGTGCCTTTGCCAGCGGAAACGGGCTCCCGAGCTCCGTTTCCGGCTGCGACGGCCTCCTGCAACCCTCTGCCAGCAAAAAACAAAACAATTGCAACCATCCTGCCTTCCGTTGAGGATCCCGTATTTTTCAGAGTATAAGATGCACCTTTTTCCCCCCTAAAAGAGGGTGAAAATTTGGGTGCGTCTTATACACCGAATGTAGCCTCGCCCACCCGCTGGCCCCCACCCTTTGGCCTCTGCCTCCCAGCAATTTACCTCCTTGCAGCAAGCAGAAAGAAGAAAGAGCCCGTTTCAGCTTCAGCACAGCCTGATTAGCACAAGTTGATCGTTGGATCGGCCTCCTGACTCTCAGTTGTTTCAGCCAGCCAAAGTGGGTAATTGGAGAATGTGATTTATGACATGGCCAGGGAGGAGGGGAGAGACAGGGTCATAGGGGAACGTAAATCTACGTGGGATTAGTTCTAAGTGTCTGTGAAGTTTCCGAAAGATGCCCTAATTAATTCATGAGCCATGAGCCAAACTTCAAAAGAAATACAGTCATTTATTAGGAGCACCATTTCGGCAATATTCGGATGCAGTTAGAACTAATCCCACGTAGATTTACGTTCCCTTATGACCCTGTCTCTCCCCTCCTCCCTGGCCGTGTCATAAATCACATTCTCCAATTAACCACTTTGGCTGGCTGTGAAATCCAACACCCTCCTTCTGACTGCGGTCAGGAAGAATGTATGGAATGTAGCTTCCGTTAGGGAAATCAATTAGCTCTATCAGTTCTCCCTCCCTCCTGCTCATGGCAACTTGAAAGCTTTGCAAGTTGACATTGGGATTGCCATGGCCTGTTGCTGCGGGGGCCTCCGCTGCTTGCTGCAAGGAGGTAAATTGCTGGGAGGCAGATTTTTTTTTTCCTTGTGCTAATCAAGCTATGCTGAAAACGAAAATGAAAGTAAAGCAGGCTGTTTGCTGCAAGGAGGCAAAATTGCTGGGAGGCCGAGGCAGATTTCTTTTTCTTCTTTTCCTCACCAAAAAAAGTAGGTGCGTCTTATACTCTGAAAAATACAATTAAGTGCTGTATGATGCATGAGCCAAAAAGAGGGCTGAGGAAATATCTACAGACCCTTCGCATCCTGGACATAAACTGTTTCACCTCCTCACCTCAGGATGCCATTATAGAGCAGGGATCTCAAACTCCAGGCCCGCAGGCTGGATCTGGCCTGTGAGGTGCTTAGATCGGGGCCATCCTGGAAACAGCATGGTGCCTTTGCCAGCGAAAACAGGCTCCCGAGCTCCGTTTTTGCTGGCAGAGGGTTGCAGGAGGCCGTCGCAGCCGGAAACGGAGCTCGGGAGCCCGTTTCCGCTGGCAGAGCTCTCGGGCCACTAGAGGCGCCCCCGGCATAGATGTCGAGCTGGCCATACCCACCCTGGCCACACCCACTCTGCCCCCCCCCTCCCCGCGGTCGAACACAACCCTGATGCGGTAAAGGTATTTACCCATGTAGTAGAGCTACTACATATATTGCTATTCTCATTTTTTTCCCCCCAATCTTCTCATCTTTCCTACTACCTTCTCCTATGGATATAGTATTATGATTCATCCATTTTGTTTGCATGTTAGGATTTGTGACTGTATCGTTAAAATTTAGGATCTGTGGCGTATCACTTTGTTGTTTGTACGTACCCTGAAAGTCTGGGCACCAGAGACAAATTTCTTGTGTGTCTGATCCAGTGGTGAAATCCAATTTTTTTTACTACCGGTTCTGTGGGCATGGCTTGGTGGGCGTGGCAGGGGAAGGATACTGCAAAATCTCCATTCCCTCCCCACTCCTGGGGCCAGCCAGAGGTGACATTTGCCGGTTCTCCGAACTTCTCAAAATTTCCGCTACCGGTTCTCCAGAACCTGTCAGAACCTGCTGGATTTCATCCCTGGTCTGATCACACTTGGCCAATAAACTATTCTGTTCTATTCTATCCGTGTTGCCTAGGGGAATTCTGGGAGTTGAAGTCCATCCATGCTGGCTGGGGAATTCTGGGAGTTGAAGTCCATCCATGCTGGCTGTGGAATTCTGAGAGTTGAAGTTCACCCATGGTGGTTGGGGGATTCTAGTCCAGCCATTCTGGCTGCAGGATTCTGGGAGCTTAAAATCTACCCATTTTAAAGTTGCCAACTTTAGAAAACTGCTCTAAAACAAGCCCAGAGTAATTCACTGGACATGACCAGTGATTTCCTCCAACTCTTTGCTTCCATGCTTTGAACTCTTCTGCACCCTGGAGGCTCACCAGTCTTGTGATTTTGCATTTCGATTTTTTTTAAAAAAAAAATCACAAGCATCCACAGTTTATATCTTTTAGGTGTGCAGAGTCCTTGACTTATAACCAATCCGTTTAGCGACTCTTCAAAGTTAACGCGAGACCCACCAAAAAAAAAAAAAAGCAATTTGCGTCCGATCCTCGCACTTATGACTTTTTCTTCCTCCTGGAATGTTCCGGTCTCCAGAGATGATGGCTGAGACTCCGGGAGACTCCGTGAAGATGTTCCTCTTCAACAAAAAAAGGGACGTCACTTACCGCATCCCTGCTCTGATCTACAGGCCTGTGGAGACCACCTTCCTGGCTTTTGTGGAGGAGCGCTCCTCACCCCGGGACGAGCACGCCAAGGGCTTGGTGATGCGACGTGGATTCAAAGAGGGCCTGTCCGTTAAGGTAACCCTGCAGCCCCAAAAGTAGCCCTTCCAAATCTGTACAGGCAGTCCTCGACCACAATGGAGCCTAAAATTTCTGTCGCTAACGGAAACATTTAAGTGAGCTTTGCTCCGTTTTATGGCCAGAAAGCCACCGTTAGTTAAGGGAATCGTTGCTATTAGGTTAAGTTAGGAGACTGTGTTAAGTTAAGTTAGGAGACTCTGAGTTCTAGTCCTGCCTTAGCATGAAAATCAGCTGGGTGACTTTGAACTAATCACCAGACTTGGGAGAAGTCCAAAATCACCCAGCTGGCTTTCATTCTTAAAGTGGAACTAGAACTCACCATCTCCTGGTGATTAGTTCAAAGTCACCCAGATGGCTTTCATGGCTAAGGCAGGACTAGAACTCACTGTCTCCTGGTGATTGGCCCAAAATCATCCAGCCGCCTTTCATGTTTTGCCATTTAAGGTGAAGGTTCCCCCTCGCACATATGTGCTAGTCGTTCCCGACTCTAGGGGGTGGTGCTCATCTCCGTTTCAAAGCCAAAGAGCCAGCGCTGTCCGAAGACGTCTCCGTGGTCATGTGGCCAGAATGACTCAATGCCAGAGGCGCACGGAGCGCTGTTCCCTTCCCACCAAAGGTGGTCCCTGTTTTTCTACTTGCATTTTTTACCTGCTTTCGAACTGCTAGGTTGGCAGAAGCTGGGACAAGGAACGGGAGCTCACCCCGTTATGCGGCACAAGGGATTCGAACCGCTGAACTGCCGAGCTTTCGATTGACAAGCTTAGTGTCTTAGCCACTGAGCCACCACATCCCTTTTTTTTTTTTATCATTTGCTTTGCATAGCCAAAATTCTTTGCCCATACTATCATTGTTTCTTTCACCTGTTCATCTTAATACAACATCTTAATATCATTAAATTGGTAGATTGTAACCTTCCCTTCGAGCCGAGTGTGCAGGGCACAAATACTGTGCCACTGGTGAGTGTGGGAGTGGAATTGTGTTTCAAGTTCAGCTAAAAATAAATGGCACGCACATTCCCACCGCATTAGCCTCCAAAATTAAAAATATAACCTTTTCTAGCACTTCGCTGTGCTAGCATCAAAACCCAAATAACTTATCTATAGAGAAAGCATCCTTCTTCGTCATAGACACAGGTAGCCCTCGACTTACGACCACAATTGAGCTCCAAATTTCCGTTACTAAGCAAGAGTTATTGTGAGCTTTGCCCTGTTTTAGCTTCATTAAGGAAATCACCGCAGGTATTAAGCAAATCTGGCGTCACCCACGGACAAGCAAAGTGCACGGGGAAGCCAGATTCTCTTAACAACCACGTTGTTACTACGTTAACAGGGCATGGATTCACTTAACGACAGTGGCAAGAAAGGACGTAAAATGGAGCAAACCTCACTTAAATGTCTCACTTAACAACAAAAATGTTGGTCATACGTTGAGAACTATCTGTATTTAGTAACAACGAATATGGGATAGAAACATACATGGAAATAAAGTTGTAACCCTTTTCCCCTCCATCCAAGATATCAGACCCCCTGAAACTTATCCTCGGGCTCTAAAGGGCCCAGACGGAGAAGCCCTTATCAATGGACTTTCCAGAATACAGAATAACAGAGCTGGGAGGGACCTCAGAGGTCTTCTAGTCCAACCCCCTGTTCAATGCAGGAAACCCTCTCCCGTTTCTGACAAATGGTTGTCCAATCTCTTCTTAAAAACTTCCAGTGTTAGAGCATTCACTACTTCTAGTGGCAAGTCGTTCCACGGGTTAATTGTTCTCACTGTCAGGAAATTTCTCTTGAATTCTGAGTTGGACCTTTCCTTGATAAATAACAGAATAACAGAGTTGGAAGATTTATTTATTATTATTTATTTATTAGTCCAATTTATATGCTGCCCTTCTCCGTAGACTCAGGGTGACTTACAATGCATTATAGCAAAAGCCTGCATACTTTTGAATATACCTGCTTAGTAGGGCTTTCGGCCCCCCCTAAGCGGTGTTGTCTTTTATACAAAGTCAGCTTATTGCCCCCACAATCCGGGTCCTCATTTTACCTACCTCGAAAGATGGAAGGCTGAGTCAACCTTGAGCCTGGTGAGATTCGAGCTTGCAGTAATTGCAGGCAGCTGGCAGCTAAGTGCTAGCACTTAACAGCACTTTAGTCCACTGCACCACGGAGGAAGAGACCTTGGAGGTCTTCTAGTCCAACCTCCTGGTCAGGCAGGAAACCTTATAGCACTTCAGAAGAATTATGGTCCAATCTCTTCTTGAAAACCTCCAGTGATGGAGCACCCACAACTTCTGGTGGTAAGCTGTTCCACCGGTTAATTGTTCTAACTGTTTCTCCTTATTTCTAGGTTGAATCTCTCCTTGGTTAGTTTCCATCCATTAGTTTCTTCTCCTGCCCTCAGGTGCTTTGGAGAATAGCTTGAGACACACACACACCTCTTCTTTGTGGTAGCCCCTGAGATATTGGAAGTTTGCTAATTCTTCTCTCCGTTAGACCAGACATACCCAGTTCTTAATTCAGACTTCTTTTGACCCTTATTTTATCCTAGTGGGGCCCTTTCGTCCCTTTGAAGACAGCTGGACTGCCCAACCATCGCACCATGAACCCGTGCCCGGTTTACGACGAGAAGAACGACGTCATCTTCCTCTTCTTCATCTGCGTCAAGGGTGGCATTTCGGAATGGCATCAGATTAGGACGGGGAGAAACGCCGCCCGGCTGGGCTACATCGCCAGCCAAGATGGCAGCCGCACCTGGAGCTCAATGACCGATCTGACCGAGCGGGTGATGGGTGACGACGAGGTGAAGAAGTGGGCAACCTTTGCCGTGGGACCAGGCCACGGGGTGCAGCTGAGTTCGGGACGCCTGGTGATCCCAGCTTACGCCTACTACGTCCACAAGGCGTGGTTTGGGTACTCCTTCCCGTGGTGGATCAAACCCCATTGCTTCAGCTTCTACAGTGATGACGGGGGTCGAACCTGGGCTCGGAGCGAGCTCCTCAAAGCCTTGAAGACCACCGAGTGCCAGATGGCCGAGGTGACCTGCGAGGACAACAGGCAGGTGTTATATTGCAATGCCCGAAGTTTGCACAAATTCCGAGCCGAGGCCTACAGTGTGGACGACGGACACCGGTTTCCAGATCACGCCCTTTGCAAACAGTTGTGTGAACTGCCCTTTGGGTGTCAAGGAAGCGTTGTGAGTTTCTTTCCCTCAGATCCGGGCCAAAAGAAGGACGTAAACGAGTCAACATCTCAGACGGACGCGTCTCCATCGTCTGCTTCACCTAAGTCATGGTTGATGTTCTCCCATCCCACCAGCAGGACGAAGCGGATGGATCTGGGGATCTACCTGAATCCTTCCCCAATGGAGCAGAGCAGGTGGACGTCTCCTTGGGTCTTAAATAAAGGACCCAGTGGGTACTCGGATTTGGCTGTTTGTGAAGACGGGGAATCGCTCGCGTTCGGTTGCTTGTTTGAGTGTGGAGAGTCCAAGGAATACGAGTACATCGCGTTTCACCTCTTCTCTTACGATGAGCTTCTGAGAAACGTGAAAATGTGAGGGACAGTCAGTCTGAGGCTATGTCTCCCTTGACAAAGGAGCTCCCCAAATTTTTATTTATTTTATTAGTCATATTTCTATGCCACCCACTCTCCAAGGACTCTGGGCGGCTTACACCAAAGACAGTATACTAAATAGCATATTGCCCCCAACAATCTGGGTCCTCATTGTACCCACCTCGGAAGGATGGAAGGCTGAGTCAACCTTGAGCCGGTGAGATTTGATCCGCTGATCGGCTGAACTAGCAGTCAGCTGAAGTAGCTGCAGTACTGCACCCTAACCACTGCGCCACCTCGGCTCCAACCAAATTCTGAGTTGGTTCTGTACTTGGCATCGGATTGTGAAGTTCCTACAGGCTGTTTTTCGTGTCATATCTTGTGTATTAAGCTGCTGGCTTTTAATTATAACAATCACAGAGTTGGCAAGGATCTTGGACAGTGATGGCTAACCTTTTTGCCATCGCGTGCCAAAGGCTGGGGAAGTGCGGGGGAGTCATGTGCGCACGCATGCCCACACCCATAATTCTATGCGCCCCCCCAATGCATGCACGTGCGATCCCATGCTCCCACCCACTTTTGGCATGTGACAGCATGATGGGCACGGTAGGCCCGTTTTTTGGCCTCCCCAGGCTACAGAGGCTTTCTAGGAGCCTGGGGAGGACGAAAAAAGGGAATTTCCCTTTACCTTGGACAGTTTATTTTTAGCCTGATTCCCCTTATCTTAATGGCTCTACTTAAGTGTTTCTGTGGTCAGCTTCTATTACTTTTGTAACAGCCCTTAGCAGGCTGCTCTGGGTTTTCCTTTCAGCTGGTGCTTCTTGGTTTTCTTAAAGGGGAAGGGCTGGCTTAAGTCTTTTGGCACTGCTTTAGTGGTTCCTGGTACTGTCCTTTGGGGTGCACTTCCCACAGGCTGTATGGGACTCACCCTTTGACTATCAGAATTGCTGTAAGATTGTAATCGGGGTCTTGGCAGCTTTCCAAGCCAGGCTCCTTATATCTTGGTACCAAAATAAAAGTATATTCTTGTATCACACCTTGTGTTTGGTGACTCATCGGCTTCGACACCAAGCTAAGGCCCAGTTTTGGGGACAACATTTAAGCCAGACATCCGTGCAAAATTTTTGAACTGGAATTATTTATTGGCCAAGTGCAAAGTTTTCTCTTAAAAGAAGAAAAGTGTGTTGCATTGTGAAAGGTTACGGTCACGTCATTAACAAATACATTTAGTTAGTATTATCACCCTCTGCGTTCCAGATGTGATCATCTAAGTCCGTGATGGTGAACCTATGGCACATGTGCCACAGGTGGCATGCACAGCCATATCTGTGGGCACACAAGCATTGCCCTATTTCAGCTCCAGCGCACATGCGCGCACCGGCCATCTGATTTTTGGGCCTTCCGGGCCCACTGGAAGTCGGGAAATGGGTTGTTTCCGGCCTCCGGAGGGCTTCCAGGGGGGTGAGGAAGGCCATTTTCGCCCTCCCCAGGCTCCTAGAAAGTGTTCTGCCCCAGCTACGGACCCCAAAGAATGCAGCACACACAAAGTCCATTCAAATCTTGGTTTAATAAATAAATCAGCCTTTTACAACAAAGGCTGTTAATTAACTGCATTAACAGCTGCCAAGAATTCAAAGAATAATAACTGAAAGCTTACTGTCCAGAATGCCCAGAAGCAATTTGCAAGAAGCTGATAAGATAAGCAGGACAAGACAGGAAGGTATGTGAAGGAAGTTGTTCCCTGCAAATTGCTTCAGTTGGCATTCCTCCTTAAATAGGCGAAGGGAGTGGCCAATTAGCCCCAAGCCTTACTCTTGAGGAGACCTCCTCCTGAGGAGCCACTCCTGCCTTTTGGCAGCTCTGCACGCCAAAAAGAGGCTCCTCTTCTTCCTCTTCACTTATGGGAGCTTCTGGAGGTTCTGAAGGCCCTGGCTGAATCCCCGCCTCTGGCACCACATCTTCTCCAGCCTCCTCACTGTCCGACTCAAGTGCCAGCTGCACAGGCTGCTGGCGCAGCACCACACCAGCCTCCTCACTGTCGGAATCGGCTACAATTTGCACAGGCCACGTACGGGCCACAACAGAAAGCCTGTGTGCCATCGTGTTCCAAAAGCAGGGGGAGCGCAGGGAGTCGCACATGTATGTGCGGGGCGCGGGGGGGCATTGACTTATGGGTTTGGGCACATGCATGCGCGACCGCCCCCCCACATTCCCCCTCCTTTTGGCACATGACGGCAAAAGTTAGCCAACACTGATGTAAGTGCTATTGCTATTTGTGCAAAGTGCAATAAATAACGTTTATTAATAAACCGAATTAAACAGTAATGGAAAAAGGCAAAACCTCATTAGGATAAATATTTCTGAATCTTTAACTTTTTTTGTTCTTATTTTATCGGCTGTTAAACATCATATTTTTAAATTTAGAGACAAATTTTAAAAAAGAATGTTCCAGTCAAACGGAAGATATAGTTAATAAAGTTTTGTTGAAATTTTGGTTCAAAATTGCATTGGCACTAAAAATAGCGGCTTATGACCAATCCTCACACTTACGACCGTTGCAGCATCCCCATGGTCACATGATCAGAGTTCAAGCTCTTGGCAACTGGTATCCATCCACAGGTGATCCTCAGCTTACAGCAGTTCATTTAGTGACTGTCCCAAGTTACAACAGCACTGAAACAGTATCTTATGTCCGCTTTTCAAACTTACGACCGTTGCAGCATCCCCAGGGTCCTTTAATTCAAAATTCAGACTCTTGGCAACTGACTCAACGTTTATGACGGTCGCAGCGTCCTGGGGTCACGCGATCCCCTTTTGCGAACTGCCAAGCAAAGTCAACGAGGAAGTCAGATTCGTTTAACAACCGTGTTGCTAACTTAAGCCACTGCAGTCATTCCCTTAAGAAGAAAGGCAGTGGGGGGATTCAGCCAGTTCGCACCACTTCGGGAGAACCGGTTGTTAACTTGGTAGAGCCTTGGTAGTACTAGGGTTTAAGGCACCCTGTTATTAAGCTGCTTAAGACCAGCTGCCTGCAATTACTGCAGGGTTCGAATCTCTCCAAGGCTCAAGGTTGACTCAGCCTTCCATCCTTTCTAAGGTAGGTGAAATGAGGACCCAGTTTGTGGGGGCAATAAGCTGACTTTGTATAAATATACAAAAGGATGAAGGCTATTGCTGAGCACATTGTAAGCCGCCCTGAGTCTCCGGAGAAGGGCGGCATATAAATCAAAAAAAAAACTTTCTGATCAGTTTGGTGAACTGGTTGTCGGAAGAAATAATTAGGGCAGAGAACCGGTTGTTAAATTATTTGAATCCCACCACTGAAGAAAGGTCTTAAAATGGGGCAAAGCGCACTTAAACATCTCGCCTAACGACAGAAAAATTTGGGCTCTGTGGCTGTCGTAGGTCGAGGGCTGCCTGTACCAGGCTCAGCACTTGCAGCACCTCGAGCGGCCGCTAGGGGGCAACAAGCGAGCTTTCTCTTTCCATAAGGCCACATCAGTTTTAGCCAACCGCGGCCCCGGTGTCTACGCGTCAGTCTGGCGCACGTGTGTATGGTGCACGCGTGCAGAATGTTCTCTGGAGGCGCCTGGCGGCTCCTCCCCCCCCATAAAACCCTTTTCATATTAGAATTATAGCCTTTATTATCAGAATGAAAATACAACGTCTGTGTTGCATAAGAGCGTAGCAAACTGCCGATCTTTGCAGCTGCAAAACGGGCTGCCTTTCAATGAAACGCATCACTTGCATCATTCCAGGTTTTGCTACCGTGGACTGTGCACGAGCAGTAGCCGGCGCAGCGTCCGGATTTCTGCCCCTGCCTGCGGCCACCCACCCACCCATCCCTCTGCCGATCCACCCGCCCCGCCTTTGCTTTCGTTTTTTCCAACCTCCAGCCATTTGGCGATGCGCTGCGAGATGAGGCTGGCGCCCGCGGGCGCCCGGACGGCCTCCATCCCTCCACCCACCCCCGTAACTCCCTAACTCTGGAGCTGGAAGGGGGGGCCGGGTGGGAGTCATACCTCAAACCGGCTGAGCAGGGCTGGCGGGGGAGGAGAGAAGGAGGAGGAGGAGACGTGGGGGGTGGAGTTCCGGGGTTGCCGATCCAAGCGCCGAGCGCTTGCAAGCAGGGGCCGCGAATCCGCAGTGCTGTGAGTGGAGGGGCGCGGAAGGAGGGGGGGAACCCCTGGGGAGGGGGGGTCGAGGGGGAGGGGGGAAAGGGAGACCTGGAGGGGGGAGGGGGAATGCCCCGGAGGGAAAGGAACCCCGGGAGAGGGGAAGGGGCAATCCTGGGGGAGGGGGGATTGAGCGGGAGAGGGAAAGGGAAACCTAGAGGGGGGGAATGGGGAATCCAGGGTGCCTGGAAGGGAAAGGAACCCCAGGAGAGGGGAAGGGGCAATCCTGGGGAGGGGGAGTCGAGGAGGAGGGGGGAAAGGGAGACCTGGGGGGGGAATGAGGAATCCAAGGGGAGGGGGAATCCCTGGGGAGGAGGGTCCTGGCGCAAGCATGGCCCCCAATTGCAGAAAGCTACTTTGGCCTCCTTCCATGGGGTGGAGGCCACTGCTCTCCCCCCTCATCCCCCCCCCCACATCCCACCATCTCTCCCTTCTCCACACACACACACACCCATGGATGGTTGGAAGGAAAAGGAGGCCCCCCTTTCCACCCCCCCCTCCCTGCATTTAGGGTATTCTGGCTTAGATAGACACCCGCCATTCACGGGCCCTCCCCTATCTTCCTCTTCCCTCCCCCCTCAACCTCCCCCATCCCCACAGCAGGAAGAAAGCCCCAAATGCTGGCAGCAGTAGAATAAGCCCTTTGTGAAACGGTTAGCCAGGCTGGAAATTTACAAAAAAATAAAATTTCTGATGAAGACACTTTTCTGAAATGCAGGGGCTCGCTTTAACAGATAAATAAATAAATAGATAAATTAAAATATGTTTCTCAGCCCTGGCAACATTAATAGAATAGAATTTATTGGCCAAGTGTGATTGGACACACAAGGGATTTGTCTTTGGTGTGTAAGGTCCCAAAATACACTTGAGTCACCAGAATGCCAAAGAGAGAGACTCAAGACGAGGCTTGCAAAAAAAACCAGATTTTATTTATGGCCAAAAACAAAATACTGGGTGGAACTATATCCAGAACATACAGATACAATGCATGCGAGGAGATAGCCACACCTTGGGGAAGGTATGGCGTCCTTTTATACCCTCAGCTTAGTACCCAACTCTGGCCTCCCAATCCAGGCCCGTGCATTCCTTGTTGCCCTGCAAGGGGGAGTAGAAACTTCCCAATTAGTTTTATCTTAAGCATTTCTTTGTTTACTCAATTGGCCACTTAGGCCCCCTGGCTCTGGAAGACAGGAGTTTCTCCAGATCAAACATAAATTAGGGCTGAGGTGTAAATTATCCCTTTGTTGATAGTACCATTCTCTTAGATAGCACAGAAAGAAGATTGATATGGGTTCAGGTCAAATGGCAGGGACATACGTTTGACAAATACCAGATACATTACAGAGGCCTAATAACAGAATATGTTTGTTACAGGAGATACAAATATAAAGGCATAATATATGTGATACAAATACAAAGGCATATGTGTATTACAGGAACCTAATGGTTACAGAATCTAGTATACCAGTATATCATATTCTAGTATTAATTATTATATCCTTATTATTGTTTCCCTTCAGGTGCATACGCTCTCAGTGTACATAGAAGGAAAAGATATATCCGTCAAGAATCATAAGGTGCAATACTTAATGATAGTCATAGGTTACTAAATAAGAAATCAAATCATACTAGGAAACAGTCAATATAAATCGTAAGGATCCCAGCAACGAGGTTACAGTCATACAGTCATAAGCGGGAGGAGATGGGTGGTGGGAACAATGAGAAGATTAATAGTCATGCAGACTTAGTGAATAGTTTGACAGTGTTGAGGGAATTAGTTGTTTGGCAGAGTGATGGCATTCGGGAAAAACCTGTTCTTGTGTCTAGTAGTTCTGGTGTGCAGTGCTCTATAGCGGCGTTTTGAGGGTAAGAGTTGAAACAGTTGATGTCCAGGATGCGAGGGGTCTGTAGATATTTTCCCAGCCCTCTTTTTGACTTCTTGAATGCGAAGCGAAACATCTTCAAAGAAGAGCCAGAAAATCCAGTTGCCTCTTGAAAAAGCACCTTTGGGGCAAACCCTGAATTAGAGCTATTCTCTTCTATTGAAGTGCCTGTTCCTCCAGTTTCTTTTTTAGTGGCCGCCTTTTGCCTAACCTCAGGGACTTGAAGATGGGTGGACTTCTATTCCCAGAATTCGCTAGGCTAGGGAATTCTGGGAGTTGACGTCCACCTACCTTAAGCTCCTCAACAGGGCATTCTGAAAATTCCATTGCTGGAGATTAGAAATGTTGGCTTGATTTGATGTCCCTTTTTTTTCCCCTCCTAGAATTTTCCCGTCTCCAGAGAAGATGGCGGAGACTTTGGGGGTCTCTGAGAAGGTGACCCTCTTCCGCCAGGAAGGGAGCGTCACTTACCGCATCCCCGCTCTGCTCTACCTGTCTTCGGAGTCCACCTTCCTGGCCTTTGCGGAGGAACGCACCTCACCCCAGGATGAACACGCCAGGTTCCTAGTGATGCGACGTGGCCAGAAAGAGGGCCTGTCCGTGAAGGTAACTCTGCAGCCCCAAAGTAGCCATGATTCCCAGTTCACTACCCCTGTTCATTATATATACATTCAGGTGGATTCAGGGCACCCCATACATTGTCTTTCTGCCCCATGTCATACTATGGCTGCGTTCACACAACTGCTTCAACCAGACTAGCAAATATTCTATTCTATTTTTTTTTTTAAAGATTCTAGTCCTCATGATTCCCAAACAGGACCCAATCAATCAATGGAAGAAGGGAATATTGTGTCCCACATTCAGCAAGGTTTGGCCATTGTCAACTCCCTGTATGGGTTGTCCTCAACTTATGGCCACAATTGAACCCAACATTTCCGTTGCTGAGTGAGATAATTGTTCATTGAGTTTTGCCCCATTTTACAGCCTGTCTTGCCACAATTATTAAGCAAACCGCTGCAGTTGTTAAATTAGTAACACAGTTGTTAAGTGAATCCCCATTGACTTCGCATGTCAGGAGGTCACAAAAGGAGATCACGTGACCCCGGGACACTGTGACCGTCATAAATATGAGTCAGTTGCCAAATGTCTGAATTTTGATCACGTGATGGTAGGGATGCTGCAAAGGTCGTAACTCTGAAAAACGGTCATATGTCACTTTTTTCAGTGCTGTTGTAACTTCGAACGGTCACTAAACGATTGTTATAAGTCGAGGACTGCCTGTATTAGGGATTTAGCTCAGTGCATATACCCAGCTGGTATCCAAACCATAATGTGTAGCTAGCTTAGTGTTGTGCATGAATTAGAATCCTGCAGCTTGTACACAAACTGTGCCTTACAGCTTCGTGTTGTGGGGTCCTTGATGCTCCCCTGAGCTTGCATGAATTAGAACACTGTGGCTTCGCTGCATAACTGGGTTTAAAACAAAACATGGTTTAGTGCAGGGGTCTGCAACCTTAAACACTCAAAAGAGCCATTTGGACCCGTTTCCCACAGAAAAGAAAACACTGGGAGCCACAAAACCCTTCCCGTGCCTGACTATTTCTTGAGCAGCCACAAAACTAGCATATGTAGTTGAATTAAACTTTCTGTTTTCTTCTGAAACTTTTCTTTTCTTGGATTTATCCATGGTTGGCTACCGGGGGTTGAAAAGCTCAATAAATCGCGTGCCGGCGGGTGTCGCACATTGGCGGTTGTGACGCATATTTTGAGTGACGGAGCCGCAGCAGAGGGGTGAAAGAGCCACATGTGGCTCCAGAGCCGCAGGTTGCTGACTCCTGGTTTAGTGCAAAAGAGCTATAATAGGCCCCAGGTCTTTTCTCTCTCTTTGCCAAAGAAAGCTGACATGATTGTCCCAGGATTTGATGGGACGATTTCATCTCTGACCATTTTGTATTTTCTCTCTAGTGGGGCCCCCTGCAGATTCTGGAGACCGCCGTCCTACCCGAATATCGCACCATGAATCCGTGTCCAGTGTACGATGCAAAGGAAGGCACCATTTTCCTGTTCTTCATCTGTGTTCTCGACCACATCACCAACACATACCAGATCTGGACGAGCAAAAATGTCACCAGGCTGGGCTACATCTTC